CCCCAAAACCCCAAAACCCCAAAACCCCAAAACCCCAAAACCCCGCTCTAGTGTTCAAAGTTGAACTCAATATTATTACTAATGCGAGGCTCTAGCTTAGATAAGAAAATATTTGGAAGCACTGTTAACGAGAATTAAGAATTTGACTCCCTTCAACTGAAGCTTAGAGATTTAAGGTCTTGGAAAGACTAAAATTGTCTTGCTTCAAGATTTTCTAAGTCTCTTGTTCTCACATTTGAAGAGGGAATAACAGTCTCATGATAAGGCTCTGACTTAAAAATCAGAAGATCTATGATTTAGATGTCTAATCAAATGCCTCCAGAACGAAGCATCTCCATCAACTGTCTCTTTGTGTATGAGAAGTTAGTAGTTGCTGCCTTTCCATGAAGAAGAATGGCTCAATAGTCATAGTACCTTGCAGTTATTTCCTCATTCTTTGTTCCTCAGATGTAGGTCTTCTTGCCATTGGCTACAATATAAGCGTTATACATTCCATTCTTGTGGCAGACTCCGATGTATCTTGACCTCATTCTTTGGCTAGTTGATTGGCTAGCATGAGATTTTGGAGTGGCTTTAAAAATTATTTCGTTTAAATTAGATATCCCTTTTATTTCTTTGAGGATTTTGGACTCTATAATTATTAATAGTTCAAGAACCTATTAAAGAGTAATTTAAACACTCTTCATCTAGAGTGGTGCTGTTTGGCTTAGAAGAAATCACAACAATTACCTGAGCTCAGAGAGGAAAGTCTTTGAATAATTTTACTCTTGCTCTTATGTTTCCTGGGTAAATCAGCTATCTTTAGTTTCATCAGCTGGTTATTAGAGCCTGAAACTTTAGTATCAGCTTCTCAAATGGTCTTCTCAATTAATTTATATGATGGAGAAGGAAGCTCTTTTTTAGATAGGCCATCTTTGTGGTCAATTAGAGCCCGAGATGAAGCTCATCCAAAATTTTCATTGTTTCACTGTCAATAATGGTTAAGATCTGGGATTTGCTGGGCCACCTGAACAATAGGAGTCATTTGAGGAATAAAAGGTACAAAAACTCATCTCATCGGAACACCAAAGGGCTGAAACATGAGAATTTGTGCTGTCAAGGCATTCATTGATTTGATTTAATTTAATTTTATGAGAAAATTAAAGTTTATATATTTATTTGGAAGACCTAGCAAGTTTTTACACATTTAGTGCTTTTAAGAGTGTAAATTTTTACTAAAATTAACACAATGACACAAAAGCCTTATCTCATGCAACCCTGAATAGATAATAAAATTTGTAAACTTAAAATTCTGGCTAGTTTGCTTTCAGTAATAATTATAAAGCCTAAAAGATCAGGAATGACTCTGACAAGGTATGTGCATCAAGGCATATTTTTGAATTTTAAATAAACGATCAAGGATTGCTGACCGTCCAAGAGAATCAACCAAGGAATAAAAACACTCTATTTTCTAACAGATCTTATTTTTAACGATGCATATCCCTCTTAATTTTTATCCTGAAAATAGTGCTGATCTCGCAAACTTGAGCAGTAATAAAGAAGAAAATAAGAATCTATAGACAATAAAGACTTAATAAAAGTGAAGTTATGAAGTTCAGAAATAATTTGAGATCATCAAACACGCCTTATCAATATACCTGTAAAAGACAGATGAAGAGTGTTGATCTGCTGAGTTCAGACTCTGACTTCATCATTTAGAGCATCTCTCAACGATCAGGAAGAGTATAAAAGTTGCAAGATGGGAAAGCAAGGCAGAGAGCAAGATTTCTAAAATACTCTTTTTGTAAAGCTACCTAAGTTAAAAGACATTTCTGCATCTTTTAAAATTTTAGTGAAAGAACTTGTCATAGTGAGCCTTTGGGATCATATTCTGCTTTAGACTGCATACCATAATCAGATGAGACTGAAATATAGGCAATTTTTCTCTGGAGATGAATCCTATAAGATTTTACACTTAATTTTACTGTGACATGTAACCAATGAATCTCAGAATTATTTTAAAACAGCTAACTTCAGTAATTAGGAAATAATAGAGAATTTGGTTCTGAGTATGGTCGATGAATGAGCTCCTTTAAAGTTCTTGTTGATACGTTCTTTGCTGAAGATAGCTAGTTATTCTAGACATAAAATCCCAACCTGGTCGAGCATGATTTTAGCAGTAGATGATCAAAATTTTTCTAATATTTTTCTTCTCTGAACATGAAGATGAAGATGAAACAGGATTATCTGAAAGACTCTGCTATGAGTTTATAAACCGGTAATTCTCAACTGATTGCATTTCAGCCATATTTTAGCTTAGCATATCTTTGAAATTCGTTCAACTGTTTGAAATACTAAAGCTTGAGCAAGACTTAAAAGGATTCAAATTAATTTAGCATCATTTTCACAATCAAAGATCCTTTGCATTTCAGAGACAGTTAAATAAAAGCAAGATAGCTGGTTCTAATCTTTTGAGGATTTAAAGCATCTTTCACCTGTAATGAGGTAGTTAAGACAAATGTTTATTCATTGAACTTAATGTGTATAAAAACTTTGCTTGTTATCACTTCTCTAGAGAAGCAAGAATTATTAAATCTCTCATCAGCTCTAATATTTCTTTCTTCAAACAAGTATACCTTCAGCTATAATTTTGGATTGATACATTTAGTTTAGCAGTGTTAGCAGGATTTTATGCACTTTTCTTTACTCTAACGTCGTTCGACTATAGTTCGAGACAAAATAGACCTTCTTTCTCAGCATCAAATTAATTCTGTCTTCATTCAAAGGCATAAAGCCCATCCCTCTAATTAGTCAAAACAAGCTCAATAATCTCAGGTTGCTTACTAAGCCTACACAAATGTCATCAGGCTTCCATTGATAATTATAAATTACTAATTCAACTGTTAAACAGTCAAAAGGGGTTTTGGGGTTTTGGGGTTTTGGGG